TCTCTCTCTCTCTCTCTCTCTCTCTCACACACACACACACACACACAGAATGAGAACATTTTAATCATGATCTGGATTTTTGGTAAATACTATTAGGGTGCTGCCTACATTGTTTAGTAAACACAACAAATGCTATTGTAGTTTCTGCATGAATTGTTTCTCCTCAGTCAACCCTGAGATACAGTGTTAGGAGTAGCGGGAAAAGCATCTGATTTTGGTAGAAAAACTCTGGGTTAGAACCCTAACTTCGCTACTCTCTGCTTGTAACTTCTTGGGCTCCTCAGTCTCTGCACATTAAGTGAGGATAACAGTACCTACCTTGAAGGATTAAGGCGAGGATAAAAAGAAGCCCTTGACTCAGGCAAAGTGCTATACAAATACAAAGCAGTGTTCCAGTTCCCCGCCTTTCTGGGCAGGGTTTTCATCAAGGAAAAGCCAAGGTGATTTTTCCCATAGTACTAAATGATATGTTCTTTCAAAATTTTCATCATTCTCAGTTATTCTTTGGCTATAGTAAATTCAGCAATGAAAACTCAACCTCACAGTCTCTAATATATATAGTATATTCTTGCAAAAATCCATGATCAATTATTATTTTCCTTTGAGAGATTTTTGCCTTTTGGGCGCATGCACTTGCCAGAGAGGCAGAGAGAGACAGAGAGACAGAAAGTGGGGAATTGCCCTCGGTGGGGGGGTGGGGGGGGATGGTCGCTCCGCAGTCCCTTCTTCATTCTCCTCTAGGGATTTTGGGCCGCACACACATGCATTGAATTTCAAGCTACCAGTTCTGGGACTTGAACCTCAGTTGGCCAAGTGGGAATCCATTGCCTTGATCACTACATAACCTGCTGGCCCCTTAATCAATTATTTTTAAAGAGTTCTTTATGCTCTTTAAAACAGAGTGGGTGGCTTATAACGAAGACAAAACTGAGTACAGCCCTTTCAAATTTTTATAAGCAGCATTATTTGGGTATTACAGAAGCAAAATCTAATTAAAAATTGATTGGGCCAGCTTGGTGGCACAGTAAGTACCATGCTGCTCAAGGGAAGCTGGACCCAAATGGAAAGAGGCAGTCTCAGTTTGCTGGGTGACCAGTACACTTGCATGCACACACCTGTAGCCCTGGCTGGCTGGGGAGGCTGGCCAGGCTGGGCACGAATAGTACAGTAGCTTGAAATCTGTTGAAGGCACTTCTTCCCTCCCCCCATGCTCATGAAAGAAATAAAATTTTTTAATTAAAAATTTAAAGAATTATTTTATTTAACTTTATTTATTTTTATTTATTTTAATTTGGCCAGAGAGGGACAAAGGAAGAAAGAGAGAGAAAGGGAAAGTGAGAAAGCAAGCTGCCAGGTCGAGGACTCAAACCAGGGTCGCCCATGTAGGAGTTTAGCACTCTTGACCCCCATACTACCTGATGGCCCCTAAAATTTTTTAATTTTTAAAAATTTATTACAGAACAGGAAAGCAAGTCATATACCATGGTGTACCAATTAAATATTCCGTTGACATATTTATCTGAATTACTGGGCTGTGGAGTACCTCTTTAAAATTTTGTGCCTAAAACAAATGGCTTACTGTACCTTAGTTCTGATAAGTGCAAGAAAAACAGAGGTTAATTATCAATGGGGGGCCAGTGAGGGCTTCATAGAAGAGCTGGATCCGAAAAACTGGAGAGCATCAGGGCAGCTACTGAAAAGAAAAAACGTTAATCCTTACCACTCCATCCCACTGCTCCAGAGACCGATCATTTCTCCTTCTCATGATAGTAATGCTGAACTTAATTGAGCTAGATCTGCAAAAGATAAAGAAAAATCGCACTTCATATTCTATAGCTGAATTCCTTTTTTACATTTTTCCTCCTCTCTGTTTATCTTTGGTTTTAGTGTGTACATGCATCAGAAATTTCTTATAGAATGCTCAAGTTTCATTTTTATTCTTGTTTTGTTGTTTTTAGCTGTGCTTGAGTTTGCATGCACTTGCTAGAAAGATACAGAAAGAGAGAGAGAGAGAGAAAGCACACTACCCCCATGGAGGACAGTCCTGCTACAATCCCTTCTCTATTTCTCTTCCCTTTTGGGATTTTGGACACACACATGTGCCTAGCATGTTTTTTAAGCCACTGAGTTTGGGACTTGAACCATGTAGTCAGCCATGTGGGATCCAGCTGCCTTAACCACCGTGCTACCAGCAGGCCCATCGAGTTTTTATCTTTCCATAATTCTCACTTCATAAGTGTCATCCTTTGTAACTGCACAAACTGTGTTACTGGTACAACTTCTTGGAACTTAATTTTCTTTCTCACAGATGAAATATGTGGATATGGGGAGGTGTAAGAGAGAGAGGTTATTACACACACCTGGAAGTTTAATTCTAAAATTTCAAAATATTTTCATTAATACCTTAATAGGTGTCTCATTTAGGAATTGTGTTCCTCTGCTAGCAATGGTGGCTGGTAATAATAGCATCTGGAACAAGACTGACACCGTTACTCTCTATTAAAAGAAGAGCAGAGAGAGCATCTCAGAGAAGGTAGAGTAGCTCTACAGTCATCGTGGACTCGGGTTCCTGCTACTCTAATTTTCCT